CGGAAGGGAAAAGCCTGTCGATGGCACTCCAACTAAATATGAACAACTTTATACACAATGTTGGGAAGATGATCCTGTAAAACGTCCGGATATAGTGAAAGTGCTTGAAAAATTAAATCAGCTTTTTAATTAATATTAAAGCTATTAAACAACCTCATTCATGGATAGGCATATCGAAAAGTGACTAATACTTGTGGCATGTTAAAATGAATGAGGGATAGTATATAATATACAAGCCACCGAAAAATACAAATTTTTGGACTACATTTTTTTGGCATTTTCTTTAGGGTTAGGATTGGGTTTTAGGTAGATCTTATAATAAACAAATATAAGTGAGTTTTAGGGGTCAAATAGAAACCCTTCATTTAATTTTATTCCGATTTCATTATGATCTTCGACAATAGTAGACGATTTTCCGAACATGTAATAATCTTGGAGCCTCAAAATTTAGATAAATTTGGGTTTGTTTGGGATTGTTTGAAGTTAGGATCAGAATTAGAAAGATTATACTATTTCACGATAAATATTTGGGTTTGTACTAGTAACTATGTCATGTTTATAAACAATGAAGATAAACATTAGCTGTCCAAACAACTTTTGTTTCAAACAGTGTTGGCATTGGACATATGTCCAACTATTTTTTATACTATTGGACTGGACATCGGAAATAATATATGGACTTATTCCACGGGTCTTATGTAACAACCCGTACTTTTTTCACTTGGTTATTGCACGGGATTGTGCGTCAGACACCGTGAAATAATATAGTTATTGTATGGGTATATGAATAACCGTGGCCTTCGGCCACGGTTATTCACTACATACCCATACAATAACAAGTATATATTTCTAGTCCATTATGTCTAATAATTTCAAGACATTAATAGTTACTTTATTGTAAAGTCAAAATTTTACTAAGAAAATCGATATTAGTTTTTAAGGAAAGTTATTTGAAAAGTCAAAATACGTATATTCTGAAAGTTTTATATAAATTGAAAAAATCTTTTATTAATCTTTTTTGATTTTTTGCTTTGCACGAATAAAATTTTAAATTTTAAACCGAGGATATGCAATATGGGTGTTACATATATTAATGCATATAAAAGTTTTACTTTAAGTTCATTTTATGGACCATTTTACTATACAATTAGCCCTTATTACTTATGATAAACTTTTGCATTGAATAGATATTTACTCGAAAATTAAATAAAAATTTTCAAAAAATTGTAAAATGGGCTGTTTTAATGCGCAGCACCCATATATTACCACTCTCTGATTGTGCAACGCGAATACCTAATCATTATAAATTGGACCAGGTTTTTTTTACTCTTTTTGAATTACAAAATAATTGTTGTTGGATTTATTATTTGAAGCCAGTGATATACATGGACATATGTCCAAGCAAATTATTGGACATGGACAGTCCATGGACATTGTCTAATGTCCATGTCATATAATTTTCAACGATCTACAATGTACATGGACAAATGTCCAGTCCAATTATTGGACATGAACAATTGTCCATGGACAATGTCCAAATATCCATGAACAATGTCCAAATGTCCAAGCCAGTGATGCCGACTATACTCATGATAGAAATATAAACTATCCACGTGATAGGTTAATACTGCGTATTCATATTTTGAGGCTTAGGTTAAAAACGTAAAAACTATCAAAAATATAAACTGATAAACGTTATATACTTGCGATAAAACAATGAAAATTTATTTGAGCATATATTTTACAATGAAATAAAAAACTGAAAAGTTTATTTACATATTTTACAATGAATAAGAATTTGATTTATATTTTCTATTATGAATTTTATCTTGCCAGTATTTTTGTATGTCTTCTAGGCAATTAGAACGTTCATTTGCTAAATGTGATTCTATTACGGTTGGTACGTATTCCTCTTTGCCAATGCTTAGTACAATATTTGCATCGAACAGAATAGGATTTTCCAATTCTTCATCAATTAAATTTATTAGTTGAAGCTGAACAATCGCTAGTACGTAGCACTCAAATTATTATTCGACATACTGGAGTTTCAGAATTTAATGATTCAGCGTCCGATTTTGGATAAAATAAGTGATGAATTTATTTCAAAAGAACTTATTTCAATAGGGAGTTTCAGAATTAACTTTTTCATAAATAAGTGGGAATTTAAAAGATCTTATTTTCCTTTTAGAAAATAAAAGGCGTAACCGGGTGATAAAATTAGTGTCTTTTTTTTTTTTTTTTTGATAAACATTCACAGTATGCGATTATGTAAATAACTACATATGTACTGTACTTTAAAAATTGGTTTGATGTTCTAATTTATAATACAGTAGTTTAGCATTTACATAATTTGATCATAGCGATAGTTTAAATCAATATTTTTTATTTTAACAAAATTTCTAGCCATCCAATAATCGAATTCAAATAATTTTTCTTTATTTGTAGAACTCACTAAGTTCTACAAAATAAAAAAAGTTTATTTGAATTGGATTATTGGATGGCTAGATATTTTATTTTTTATTCATAAGATCTACTAGTCCCGTAAGGTCATTTTCAAGGCAAAGGCTCCATAAGTCTTATCGCGTGATAAAACCAAAACATAGTGGTGTTAAAATGTTTAGTCAGCATCACTAGTTCAATGGCTAATCGGCAATAATTCTGATTGGCTAAAATTATTTGTTATCAAATTTATCCGAATCTCATTAATGCAATTTTCTGCATAGTACCATATTTACCAGGAACGGAGTGATATTGAAAATTTCACGTAGTGTATGGTCACACGGCGAATTAAATGGCGACGGGGATCACCGGGGGGAACGCCGACGATCATCGGTGCGACGAACAGACGGATCACACCGTCAGCCGAGACGATCATCATTCAACGATTACCAAATCGGGACATATTACATCTTATCATTCAACGATTACCGGATAGGGGCACATTAAGTCTTATCAATCGATTGTCCAAACATTCATATTATTAGTCATTTATTATCACCATCAATCACTTTATTATTAGTAGACGTAGCCTTCTCGAATGTATAAATAGCCTTAGTTTTTACCCTTCTCAAACTTCAGGATTGCCACCTCACACAATTAATTTTGCTTGCAAATAATTTTGCCTATTAATTCACAAATTGTAAAAAAAGCGCCCAACACAAATTATTTAAC